ATGGAAAGATATCTAGTTAGAGACTTGCGAGTGAAACTAAAAATATATTTTTAATAAAATTTGTTTAGATACCCATGAAAGGGTATATGAGATATTTATGTGAGATTTTTTATCTTCAAAAGATTGATATACTTTTTTTGTTGGTCTAAATTGTGGTTTTCATTTCATTAAGTCGGTTGAACCGGTATGATTGGTACAGAGAGAAGACCCGATTTAGCAAAAGCATCGGCCTTTTAAGTTTTCAGATCGATGAACAAATACAAACGAAATTTTGAGATGTAGAGCCAATTTGGTATGTCTTTGATGATACCGTAAATTCCAATCTGGATTTTGTCTTCTTTGAGCAGGTTTATCAGTCTTTGGGAATCAGATCCCATGGTGAATCTGGTGATGTGCATCGACGACGCTTAGAGATGTGCTTTTTTCATAGCCAAAGCCTCTGCTATCAACGGAGAGGCGACATGATGCTCGATCTTGGTTCCTTGTGCCCTCGTGTTGCCATCGCGATCCTTGATTATCCACCCCAATCCTGCGACTTTTCGATCTAATCTCCAAGCGACATCTGAGTAGACATATATCCCTGGTACTGATCTTTGTAGTTCACATATTGTTCTGGTAGTTTTTGTTTCATGCTTCTGCGCCATAAGCCAATCTTTGGCATAATGGGTTGCTTTGGTGATAGTTTTCTTTTCGTGTAGTTCATGTATTGAAAGATTTTCTGGTTTTTGGCTATCCACAAGGACCACGGAACCCAGGGAAAAAAGGACACTCACTGATTCCTGTTGGAGGCAAGCATATCATCTTACCCGAGTCGATCACTCCGTCTTTGAAAGTCAGAATCACCTCTGATCGGACAATTTCTTTGAAAGGTGTCAGGTTCCACACTTCTTTTGCGAATGGGCGGTGCAGAAAGAGATGGTCCACGGTTGCTGGTTGGTCGTAGCGTATGCAGAGGGCCTGAGCTTGGATGCCTCTTGATGCTAATTGTGTTCCCATAGGTAAAGCTCCTCTTACTGCTTTCTAGAGAAATACTTTTAATTTTTGTGCTGTTTTGATGCTCCAGATGTTTTGTCTCCAGTTGAAGTTTGGTGGTTCTGTTGGTGTAGATGCAATTGTAGGCGCTTCCCTTGTAGTATTGTAGACTGACTTTGATGTACATATCCCTGAGTCATCTCCAAGCCATACAAATTTATCTGGAGCTCCTAAGGCGCTTGGTTTCAGGTCAGTGATAAACTCTTTATAATGTGGAAGGGTTTCACTGATTTTGAGTAGGTTCCAGTCCTTTGTATTTGAGGTTATTAGATATGAGACAAGTAGATTCTCTTTGTCTTTAATTGCTGGTC